CAAAACCGACCATTATTCTTCACAAAACTAGTCTTATGAGGAGTAAAGGCCGCATTGCCTTTCTTGGGGGTATAGCCCGATCCCTCTTTATAGAGAGAAGCTCTTTGGCTACCCAAACACATACGCAAGCGGTCCTCACCACCATAGGCCTTAACCAAAGTGTGAGTGAGCTTGTTAACCTTCTTGAGATTCTCATTCTCAGCCACTAGTGAGGCATCACAAGTGAGACCATCACCACTAGATGAGGTGGAAGTGGAAGTACTACAAGAAGGGTTAGTAGAAGAAACAATGATAGGCATAGATAGTGAATCATCAATTATATCACAAGTTAAACCTACATCACAAGTATCAACATGCTTCTTTTTATTTTGCTCATCAAGCAAAGAGGAATAAGCCTTTTCAAGCTTTTTGTGAGCTTTGCCAAGCTTCTTATTGGTTTCCTCTAGCCTCTCATGAGATGCATTGAGCTTATCAAAGGCTTGCTTAAGGGCTTTTAGTTCCTTATGTAAGCTTTTGCATTCCCTTATCTTGATGTCAAAGTGTTCTCTAGCATCTTCTAGCATGCCAAATAATTCATCCTTAGTAGGTTTATCATCATCACTATCACTATCATTTTCATTTTCATTTTCATTATCATCATCATGTTCTTCATCACTTTCATCATCACAAGTTTGTACCTTAGTGGCCTTAGCCATGAAGCATGATGAAGAGTCGAAGAGAGAAGGTTTCTCATTGATAGCAATGCTTGTAAGAACCTTCCTCTTGGTGGTCTTGTTATCATCATCATCATCACTTGAGGAAGCATCACTATCCCAAGTGACCACATATGAACCACCCTTCTTCTTCTTGAAGGTCATCTTGTCCTTCTCTTTCTTTTCCTTCTTGTCCTTCTTGTTCTTCTTTTTGTCATCATCATTGTTCGCTATTGTATGGACATTGAGCAACAAGATGATATTTGCTTCCACACTTGAAGCACCTTCTTGACTCTTCTTTGTTCTTGGATGAAGACTTCTTTCTTCTAGCATGGTAGTCCTTCTTCACCATGAACTTGCCAAATCTCTTAACAAAGAGAGCCATCTTCTCATCATCATCATCCCATGAATTATCTTCTTCACTAGATGTTTCTTGCTTAGCTTTGCCCTTGGATGATGTGGCCTTGAATGCCACACTCTTCTTCTTCTCATCCTTCTTCTCATCTTTCTTCTCCCTCTTTTCTTCCTTCTCATCATCATCTCTATATGTATCATCGATCATTATATCTCCCAACACTTGGTTTGATGTCATGGTGTCCAAACCACTCCTCACTAGAATAGTGACCAATGTGCCAAATCTTGAAGGCAAGCATCTCAAGAACTTGTGGGAGAAGTCCTTGCCCTTCACATCTTCTCCAAGTGCTTTGAGATCATTGACAAACACTTGAAGCCTATGGAACATCTCCGGCACACTCTCATCCTCCTTCATCTTGAAGCTTGCAAACTTTTCTTTAAGAATGTATGCCTTTGCACCCTTTACGGCTTGAGTGCCCTCAAATGATTCTTCCAACTTCTTCCAAGCCTCATGAGCCATCTCAATATTCTTGATTTGCTCAAATGTTCTCTCATCAATTGTATTATGAATGGCACTTAGAGCAATGTCATTGCTTTGGAGAAGCACGTCTTCGGCTACGGTGGGATTCTCTGGATCTTCAATCTCAATTTTGGTTTCTACCACCTTCCACACCTTTCTATTGATTGACTTGATATGTGTGGTCATCTTTGACTTCCAATAAGGATAATTTGTGCCATCAAATTGGGGTGGCTTCTTGGTGTTGTTGATTTGAGTCATTTTTACACTTTAGGTTGTTAAGCCTCAAATCACGGTGACCTTGGCTCTGATACCATTTAAAAGGTCCTAATGGCTAGAGGGGGATGAATAGCCTAATAAAAATTTCTACAACAACACTTAACAAAATGGTTAGACAATTATGAGGCGAAGCAAGAGTTGCGCTAGCCTACTCAAAATGCAAGCCACCTACCATAATTCTAGTTTAGATAGTATCTATTCACACAATAGCTATGACACTACCCTATGTTAGTGTGCTCTCAAAGGCTAACTAAAGAGACACACCAACCAACCAAGCAAGCTTTCACAACTAACTACACTAAAGAGCTTGACAACTAGTTTACGGTAATGTAAAGAGAGTGATCAAGAAAGTTATACCGCCGTGTAGATGAAGGAAGCAATCAATCACAAGAATGAATAACAATGAAGACCAAACACTTCAAAATCAAAGGACGAACACAATGATTTTTTACAGAGGTTCACTTGCTTGTCGGCAAGCTACTCCTTGTTGTGACGATTCACTCACTTGGAGGTTCACGCGCTAATTGGTATCACACGCCAAACCCTCAATAGGGTGCCGCAAAACTAACACAAGATGAGGATCACACAAGCCACGAGCAATCCACTAGAGTACCTTTTAGAGCTCCACCGGGGAAAGGTCAAGAACCCCTCACAATCACCACGATCGGAGCCGGAGACAATCACCACCCTCCGCTCGATGATCCTCGCTGCTCTAAGCCGTCTAGGTGGCGGCAACCGCCAAGAGTAACAAGCGAATCCCGCAGCGAAACACGAATACCAAGTGCATCTAGATGCAAACACTCAAGCAATGCACTTGGATTCTTTCCCAATCTCATAAAGATGATGAATCAATAATGGAGATGAGTGGGAGGGCTTTGGCTAAGCTCATAAGGTTGCTATGTCAATGCAAATGGCCAAGGGAGTGAGCTTGAACCGGCCATGGCGCTTAAATAGAAGCCCCCACGAAATAGAGCCGTTGTACCCCTTCAGTGGGTAAAACGCGGGGTGACCGGACACTCCGGTCATACTGACCGGACTCTGGACCCAGCGTCCGGTCGCTCGATGTCAGCCACGTGTCACACTGCTTTCAACAGGAGTCGTCTGATCTCAACGGTCATCTGTTGACCGGACGCTCCTCTACAACTGACCGGACACTGAGTCTCCAGCGTCCGGTCATTTCCAGTAAGGTTCCAAAAACATATTTTGCCGACCGGACTCGTCCGGTCATGCCTGACCGGACACAGCCATCGTCCGATCACTTGTTGACTTCTTACTGAGCAGTTGGTCAACACGACCAGACACATCCTTCTAGCGTCCAGTCGCTGAGCGACCCAGCGTCCGGTCGTTTGACCGACGCCAGCGTCTTCGCTGTTACAACTGACCGGACGCGCTAGTTCCTCTGAGACCAGCGTCCGGTCACTTTGTGACCAGCGAGACCAACTCCTATTCACGTCTCTCTTCTTCACCCTTGCTCAAATGTGCCAACCACCAAGTGTATCACCTTGTGCACATGTGTTAGCATATTTTCACAAACATTTTCAAGGGTGTTAGCACTCCACTAGATTCTAAATGCATATGCAATGGGTTAGAGCATCTAGTGCCACTTTGATAACCACATTTCGATACGAGTTTCACCTCTCTTAATAGTACAGCTATCAAACCTAAATGTGATCATACTCTCTAAGTGTCTTGATCATCAAAATAAAATAGCTCATATAAAATATACCTTTGCCTTGAGCTTTTTGTTTTTCTCTTTCTTCTTTCCAAGTCGAAGCACTTGATCATCACCATGCCATCATCATCATCATGCTATGATCTTCATTTACTTCACCACTTGGAGTGTGCTACCTATCTCATAATCACTTGATAAACTAGGTTAGCACTTAGGGTTTTATCAATTCATCAAAACCAAACTAGAGCTTTCACCGCGGCGTTTCGACCAGAAGCTTGATAGTGAAGACGGAGGGGAGCATCTGGAAGAGGCTTGTCGGAAGGCACGTCGGAGACCCACTTACGCGTGGGGAAGGCCCGAGACTATCTACGGAGTTACTCGACCGGGACGCATGGGGATTACTTACGAGGGGCCCCAACGAGGACTAGAGAGAAGCTAGCGCGCTTCTCGATACTTCGATAAAAATATCGGAGTCGTATACGGGAGTTTGCATATCTCTACCTTACTCTTTAGCTTCCGCATTTACATTGATTGTATTACTACTTTTGCGGTAGAGATAGCAACATACTAGCAAAACTATAGTTGCACATTTAAATAGTTTATCTATTGCATAGGTTTTGCTAGGGTTAGAAAAAAATGTCATAGTTTAGAAGTAGATTTTTAAGTTATCTAATTCACATCTCCTCTTAAGCGTCACAGTCCACTGCAGAGACAGCGTTGGCGGAGTTACAATCAAGTCTCTTCACTTACTCTAAATACAATTACTCTATTGTTTTGTGGGACCATTCACTTTCTCTCTCCTTAGCTTTATCTCACCGTGCAAGTGTTGGCAGGCCCACACGTGGGGAAGTGTGCTGGCCCTTGGCGCTCTACCATGAGACAAGCTAGTTCTCTTTCCTTGTTTCACTCTCGTCTACCTAGATATTTGCTAAGCAGTTTATTTGTTTGGTCATATTTAATTTATAAGTCATGATTTATCAGCTAATAAATAATATTTTTCTCTCATACTAAATCAGTCAAAAGTACTTTCAGTCATGGCTTATAAATCAAACCAGCCCAAACGAATAGGGCGAAGGTAGTTTGGCTCTAAGGCCCCGTTCGCTTGGCTGAAATTGGTTGGAAAATACAGGCCCCGTTCGGCTTATCTCATATCCGGTTTGTTCGGCTTCTTTTTTCAGTCGGAATAGTGTTTTTCTCTCCCAACATTTCAGCCAGAACAGTGTTTTTCAGCCAAGATTCAGCAAGCCGAACGGGGCCTATCGACAGAATTATTGTGAGAGAAAAACATTGTTCCAACTGAAAAAAGATGCTGAATAAGCCAGATTATAAAGTAAGTCAAATGGGGTCTAACTAAGCCAACTTGTATGGACTCTATCATAGTTTATATAATTATTTACTATTTCTCTATTTATTAATTTTTACTGATGTGTCTGAAGAAAGAGTGGCGAATTACAAGAAACAGAGTCTAAAATAGACTCGACGTCTACTATGGAATCGAGGCCGAAGAAACTGCAATTTTTGGCGTTGGGAAGGTCATGTTCGTTTCCATCTCTCCGGTGTAGATCCCGTGCGCCTGACCCTCGCCATCCGCGCAGGCCGCTCGTAGATGGCGTGCGGCCCGCTCGCCCGGCGCCGCCAGCGGGACCTCGCGCGCATCCTTGGAGCGGTAGTCGCGCATCCATGGCCTCCAACGGGGATGGGGACGTAGACACGGCGGAGCTGGCTCCGCCATCCCTGGACGGAGCTCGTGACTTCCTTCTCGCCGTCGACGCCAAGCGCCGCCACACCACCATACGCGGTTCCTTTCTCCCTTCGCTCCGGTCCCTCTGCATCTCCCCGCCGCGAAGTTGCGCGGACGCGCCCTCCCCGCCGTCCGCACCGCGGCCGTGCGCGCGGACCAGCCGCGCCGCGCCGTCCTACCCGCCGCGAAGCTCAAGCCGTGGCTCGACACCCTTCCGCGCCGCTGTCCTTGTCGGTCCGCGCCTGTTCGCCGCGCTCGGCCCGTCGACTAACCATCGTCGGTTCGCGCCTCCTCGAAGGAAGCCGGGATGCGCCCCCGCGCGTGCGCGCCGCCCCTGGCTCGCCTGGCACACGCCTCATCGGACCGTGCCTCCTCCCCGCGCTCGGGCTCCCGGCTCGCCGTCGTTGGCTCGCGCCTCCGCGGAGGAGGCCGGGCTGCGCCCCTAAGCGTGTGCCCCGCCCTTGGCTCGCTTGGCGCTCGGACCCGCCGCCTCGCGCCTCCGCACGCCCGCTTGCGTGTGTCCAGCAGGGCGCCGCGGATCGACGAGGAAGAGCAGAGTGAAGGATGGGGACGAAGAAAAACGGGAGCACAGAGCACAGGGTGGAGCAGAGGATCCTGAGAGAGGAGAGGTAAATGATTGGGTAGATTTTTATTTGGACCTAGGTGTGTTTAGGTCCTCCCAAATTCTCAACTTTCGCAATATGAAAAAAAAAGATTTCTCGTCATATTAAACTTCTAAATGTTGATGAAATCAAAAACTAATTACATAGTTTGGTTGTACTTTGCGAGACGAACGTTTTAAACCTAATTAGTCAACGATTAGATAGTGTAGCTACAGTATTTTCGACAGCGTCGATTCGGGTGAACTAAACATGGCCCTAATGGTAGAATAGTAGGGCCTTATTTAGATTACAAGAGTTAGAAAAAATTGGTATTGTAGCACTTCGTTTGTATTTGACAATTATTATCTAATCATGAGTTAACTAGGCTTAAAAGATTCGTCTCGTAATTTACAATCAAACTGTGATTAGATTTTTTATCTACATTTACTGCTACATACATGTATCCCTTTCAATGTGAATCAAAAAACTTAGAACTGCGTAAACAATCTAAACAATTAATTGTTTTTTTTCTATATTCTGTACTCGTAAAGGAAGTCGTTTAGGACAAGTTTGTGTCCCTAAATTCAATGTGTTGAGTTTGGAAAAGTGAAAATATGAATAGATTTGTCTTAGAACTTTTAAAAAGTAATCGAAATAATCTAAACAAGGCAGCATAATTTCTTTGGTACGATGTACTGGCTACAGAAATTAGTCATGGTTTCTGCATACATTGTGAGTGCGAGGAGACGAAGCACCAACCACGCGTGATGAACAAAAAAACGAATGGTGCATGGTCCCCACGTGTGGATGCTTTGATTCTTGACAGGATGTTAGACTGCCGTAAAGGTACGATGTTGCATGTACCACCACCTAGCTACCTAGCCGGCTAATTGATTAATAAATAGGAAGCGGCTAAATTACGGCCGGCCGTAATTTGGCTTATCGCATGATCTTTTTTGTTGTTGGTAAAAGTGCAATTATTTTATTCCCTTTTTAGCAAGGATACTAATTAGCGTTTGTTTTTTTGGTGGGATGTGACCAATACCGACCACACATTTGTCAAAAAAAAAAAGCAATTAAGATCCAGAAGTATGCTTTAAGGTACTTCGTATATACGTTCAAAAAAGGCGATGTTTTCAGAAAAAATAACACATCTCAGAAAGGAATACATTTGCATCTGCAGTTTTTCGAAAAGCACAACACTATATATCTAGTCCCGCACATTTGCACATCTTCTCTATAGGCCCGCATCTTGCTTCTCTGTACATGGCCTGCATTCCTGCATGTTAAAATAAAAGATAACATGTGTCAAAAATTTCTTGTTGGTAGGAGATGAAAAAATGATGCTTATGTTCCTGAAGCTTCTATTGGTGATGAGCAGGTTGCCGCTAGTAATGCTGCAGTGGATCCAATTTTTCTAGGCAATTTAAGTGTCATTCATTAGGCAACAATGTCTTCCTAATTAGACAATTTTGGTATTCTGAAAAAGCAAGTATAGTGTCTGTGTTCATTTGTAACCCACAGCCCCACCCCCAAACCTGGTTTATTTGCAAAAATACATATCAAACAGAGGCAAGGTGATGATATCAATAACTAGTTTTTTAACAAAAGACAGACTAATTCAATGGTTGAACAGAAAGGATCATCATAACAATAGAAAAAAAGAATGATCTGTGAACAACAATATGTCACATGCATTATTCAGCACCCCCACTCCCAATCTGCACTTCCCTACTCGAGAAAATGGAATCTCAGGCTTCCCCTAGTCACCTGCGCATGGTTAAATCACTTAGAGCACAGAGTAACGCTTGACGGTAAAAAGAGTAGAGATTATCCTGTTCGCTTGATTATTTTTGTGACTTATAAGCCGGCTGATGTTGTTTTGTTGTGAGAGAAAAATACTGTATCATGGCTGATACGATCAAGCGAACAGGGTGTATAGGCACATTTTTTTTGTTGGACACAAATAAAATTGCCACCAAATTACTAATAACTTGCTTGACTAATGATATTAAATTTCTTAACTAAATTTACATGCACAATTTTCGGTGGTACTGTATTGCTCTACACTTTTTCATCTAGCCTGCTGCACACTCCACCTTGGCTGCAGGTCACCTTTGCTGCATTCTCTATCTACAGTAACAGCATGACAACAGTATGCTAGTAGTGGCCGATCTCAGCCTGATACTGCCCAACTGTAGCTAGTAGTGGCTATAGTAGTTGCAGGTGCACTAAATGTGGTTATAGCTTGTTTAGCAATGGAAAGCAGTATAATTTGCTGCACCAGCAATCCAGCAGAGGTGTGCTCGTGCTGCATTCTGTGATCAAGTTCATCTTCTACCTCTAATTGTGAGCTGTGAGAGGGTGATTGTAAAGTGATAAACAATTAGGCTAAGGCACAAGTACTTACACCGTGCCAAAGAATGTGTAATTGCTAATTATTCAGCTCTAAATGCTGATTATTGACACCTCCATAAAACCTAACACCAGCTGCATTTTCTTAGGCAATTTAAGTTTCATTCGTTAGGCAACAATGTCTTCCTAAATAGACAATTTTTGTATTCTAAAAAAGCAAGTATAGTGTGCTGCACCATATCTAGTAGACTCGTAGATAAGAAAATGACCAATCACTGGTAGTAACCTTTCACATACACCATATCTAGTAGACTCGTAGATAAGAAAATGACTTGCTACTACTAAATCACAGATGCAACAGAATGGTCCACGCCAACATACCAAGCCAGCTTGCAAAAATACAAGATACTGCAACTTCTGCACATTGGCCGGTATCTCATTGGCAATGTTACGGTTAATGATGGGGAAGAATGGTGGCTAGTTCTCCATCGGCACACTAGCTGCACCAAGCAAAAATTGGGGGAAATGCCAATGATCACACATCAGTATTCAGTCTAAACAAAATGACAACTCAAACACCACTGACAGTCTAAATAGGTAGCAAAATAGGTGCAGGGATTTACAATTTTACATTGGCACAAGTATTTGGGATTTGTATGGGCATAAGTAATAGAAGCAAAAGTAAACATTATTTGGGATTTGCATTTGGGATTTTGGTAATGTACCCAGTGCAGAGAGCTCCCGCGCTGTGCGGGGTCTGGGGAAGGGTGTTAGTGGCAAGCCTTACCCTCGCCTGTGCAATGCGAGGAGACTGCGACTCGAACCCGGGACCTTCCGGTCACAGGCGGTAAGACTCTACCGCTTGCACCAGGCCCACCCTTCTGGGATTTTGGTAATGTAAGACAACAAAACTACATTTGAGATCTGAACTTTGCTTCAAGCAGATTAATACTTGAAAATTAAAGGGGGAATATGGTAAAAAGAATTGAGGAAAATAGCACCAGATGACTCACTCATGATGGCGTGCAAAAAAAAAGTACAATAATATAGATGACTCGCTAGTGATGAGCGCAGAGGAAAGGTTAATGCAACGGAAGCCAACAACGTCCCAGTAATACCAAGGTCTATTACCTGAACAATATTTTCTCCAGCTAGAAGCTCAACCTTTAGGGGCACCATACGACTGCTCTTATCATCTCCAATCCAAGCCTCCCGTGCTCTCCTCTCCCCCAAGCATTACACTTAGAGAGACCAAAACAGCAACAAATCCTTTTAGTCCTAAGAAAGGGTGCATGTTAAGAGAATAAAAAACAAAATATGTGTTCCAGTAGAAAATGATGAGTACCAAAAAAGAATATTTTACAATGCATCGAGATTGGATCAGGTCGATTTGTGCAACTCATGGGACCTGCTCAGCTGTGCTTTTGAAGTAGCTACAACAGTTGCTGCTGCTTATTTTCTACTACAAAGAATAGTAGTTGTAGGCAGGCTTGCTGCAGCAGCCGCCGCAACACTTGCTGCAGCAAGCAGTTTCGATAAGTCTGACATAAACATAGCAGAGGCACCTAAATGCATATATGCTTTGCCCAGTACAGCATATATGTTTGTCACATGATCCATCTTTCTAAATAAACAACCACAAGCCCTCAGTATCATCTATGTAAGGAAAACCTTGGAAACAATCCTAGTTAATTTCAGGTCTCAACATACACCCTCATCATGCTCCCCATCACTATCTACCCCTATGCAATATAATATCTAGCCTGTAGTGCCTTATGTTTCTCTTCTTGCTATTTACTGTGATAAGTGCCAGTCTTACTACGTTAAAATACATGTTTCCATGACATTAATATTCGTTTTTTTAGAAAATGCAGAATAAGGTACAGATGGATCTGAATCAACAGAACTCAAGCCAAAGTCAGTTTGTAGCCCTTTTTTTGGAACAACTGCTAACTCTGTATTCGGTTCAGATGTGCTCAACATGGTCAACAAACTCCTCTAGGTTACTTTCATCGTATAATATGTATATTTTGG